GTGTCCCCACTGGATGATTTAACCACTTCTTGGTTCTGTCTTGTGACAATGGACAGGAGGTGAATCTGTCCAGTGGTGACAGAGCAAACAAAATGCCTAGAGAGATACTAAGTATAAAGATTTTTTTTTTTTACTTCATTATGTCAACACTGAGCATTTCTATAGCTTGATAACACGCTCCTAACTACTCTCAGTAACCTAACTGAAATGTAATATGAACTTAAAGAGTGACAGGATCTGTTATCTAAATTTCGGTATATGGGATGTTTTATAAAGCAGCGCATACACACATGGGAGAGCGGCTTCTACATACGCCAACCCGCTGTCTTATGCAGTTGCACTGTTGGAGTGCAATCACACGCATGCCAACAATGCTGTAGCTAAAATGTATTAGAAAAACTACAGAAGTAGCAAGGTAAAGAATTGCTCCAATCATATATTTCCACTGTAAAACTTTACAGTCACCCGAATACCATGTGATTTTAAGGCTCTCTGGTATCAGATGTACCAGCAGACCCTCTATGACTGGAGCAATTTTCCATTACTGGTGTTAATTTGTGCACTAGAATCTATTTTATCCTACTAGCTCTCAGAAGGTTGCAATGGAACTTCAGCTCTGTATCCATTTTTTCATACCACTGCATCATGTCACAAGCTCTGCATCCAGTTTGTTTGGCAAAGCTGAGTGAGATTTGAATGCCATAAGCACCCTGTGATCTAAGAAGTGCCACTACGGGCAAACATTACCTGTGACACGGTTATGCCACACTTCTTGGCTAACTCCTCTTTGGCCTCTTCGCTGGGGTAAGGGTTACTGAGGTGTGAGTAGAAGTACTCATTCAAGATTTCTGTTGCTTGCTTGTTAAAGTTTCTCCTCTTCCGCCTAATTAAGCAGATAAATAAGATCATTCAGGAAGCAGCAAAGTTCTTTCAGAATGTAAATAGAAAGAGAGCTTGGAAGTGTAACCAATGAAAGATTCATGTTTTCTAAATTCGTACAAAGATAAATAGTACATCAAGGAAGAGATTTACGCAGTTCCCATTAAAAAAATTAATAAACAACAACAATAATAAAAAAAGAAAACCTGCCATTAAACCAATATGCAGTGCATCTTTGCTTTTTAAAAAAAAAAATAGTTTCCTCGGCTATGATGCTGATCTTCAAGCTTCAATACTTTGAGTCACTGACCGAAAATGCGTATGCGGATCAGGAGTTCTGAATTTCCTCCAATTTTACTAGCTGCATGCTTTTTCTGGGTTGATGACTTAAAAGTACAGAAGCCAGTGCCAGCCATGCATCCAGCTTTTTCAAGTCAACAGCAAGTGTATGCGAATAAAAGAACAAAAACAAATATTAAAAACAAAAATTAAAAAACAAAAATAATATTCAGTACATCTATGCAATATGTGCACATTTCCCCATGTTTTATCCCTTTAAAGACCAAAGACAAAATATCTGTTAATCTACCAGAAATGCAATCTGTTCCCAATTCCTCTATGGTCAGAAAAAAATAGTGGCAAACCAAAAGGTGAAAGAGTCCAAATGTGCATTTAATTGTTTAGAATTAAACCGAACAAAAAAACAATGGGGAAAAATAAATCAAAACTGGAGCAGACAGAATCTGGAGCAGTTGGCCATAACCAATCAGCTTCTCTCATTTTCAAAGCTTTACAGAACAAACTGAAGAGAGAAGCTGATTGGTTACTATTAGGGATGCACCGATACCGGTATTTCGGTATCGAGTACTGATATTTGTTTTTGTTAGTACTCGCCGATACCGAATACTGATACTGGAAGTCCCATTAAGGAAGCCAGGTGGCGTGTAATGTCTCGCCACCTGGCTTCCTGATTACCTGGGAAGCTGGGCGGTGTGTAAAGACTCGCCACCCGGCTTTCCGATTAGCAGGGAAGCCGCCCCCATGCTTCTTGTCACTATGTGAAGAGCAAGCATGGATCCGGCTTTACGGCCAATCAGGAAGTTGGGTGCCGTGTAATGACGAGGGAGCATGACGAGGGTGCCCGGCTTCCTGACTGGTCGGGAAGCTGGCCAATCAGAAAGCCGCGCAGCGTGTACTGATACACTGCCCGGCTTCCTGATACAGGAAGTATCGGGCTAGGCATCGGAGCATTTGGGTGAGTACGAGTATTCGCCCAAATACTCGCACCGATACTAGTATCGGTGCATCCCTAGTTACTATGGGCAACTGCTCCAGTTTTGATAAATTCCTCCCAGTGTGTTTCGGGGGGCTACAACACTCCCTCTTCATCAATATATGATTTGATATAAAGATCTCCATTAGGGCTGGAATTGCAATTGGAAGCAGCATTTATTCCTGTATGGCGTCACCCTGCCCAGTTACATACATAGTTAGTCAGGTTGAAAAAAGACACAAGTCTATCGAGTTCAACCTATAGAGACGAGGAAAAAATAATAAATAAATCACTTTTTACCAAACCAAATCTCTCGCCTCTACTCATCTCCACAAAATAGGAACTAAATGTTCTGTAGTAGAAGAACTGGAAGGGCTAATTAGGGTCCTTGAGATAACACAGGAAGTGTGCACAGGACAGCTATGAACTTATGGTCAAGCGGTATTTTTGTTGCACTTATTGAACAGATAATACACTATTAATGGTACATTTTACAGAGCAAAGGGGGCAAATAAGAGAAGTCTATTGTTATGGCTTACATACACTTTAAAGTGTATGTAAACCCTAAAACTATAAACCTCTCTTATTTGGTTCCTTTTAGTGTAGTTGTGGTCAGCTTTGCCTTCCAATGCCCTAGAAATTTAGCATCTGGCATAAAACACGAAGGTATGGGAATACACTATGGTCTTACCGAGCATCGAGGAAGCGAGAGCGAAGAATCATTACAGCTTCACATGTGCTTTGCTTCAGCTGCATCTGGATAGAGCTAAACTTTCTGTGGATAATTCCAACCATGCGTTCAATCTCTTTGGGGGAAATAGGTCTGGTCCGGCTCTGTTCTCGCAACAGATTCATCACATGTGTTGTGAATTCGTTACAGGCCTAGAAGGGAACAGAACTAAAGCTGTGATTTATTTCCTTCTTTTAGAAGTTGAACTGCAATCCTGCATGCCAAGGTTCATGCACAGTTGTCATTTACATCTCATATACTTTATATACAATAGCTTAATGTGGTTTCTAGTGCATGTTAGGCATTAGTGTTAGGACTACAAACTCACCCCACAGGTTTTAACACATTTGTTCACTCAAAATCATGATCAAAAAAGCAAGCAATGATTGAATATACTAATGACCTTATTCAATAACATGTGTAAGGCCTGCAAGTGTGCACAACAGCAGTGTACACTGCAAGCTTTTGAAAAGCATTTGCAAAGCTTTCAGCAAGCTTTCTTTAAATGTTTAAAGTAACCCCCATCTTCAGTTTAAGGATCTTAAATACAGATCTGAATAGGAGTGCTGGCTGTCACTTTAAACAAGTCTCTAGCAAGCACCAGCAGTCTTTAAAGAAGAACTCCAGGAATCAAAGTAAACCCTAGGGTTACCCATGCACTGCAAGGGTTAACTGCTCGTTTTTCACTAGGGGCTAGAATACAGAAGATATGCTCATCTGATCCTTGACCTGTGGCGACCAGCCCTCACCTCTCTCCCTCTCAACTCCAGCTGTGGTATGTCACTGAGCATCCTCACATCTGATGCCAGTGAATGAACTTGTATGAGACATGATGATGTCACAGATCCTTAAACCACCAGAGCCCAGGGGAGAAGAGGCTCCACAGTCCGGGATTGAGGATCAAGTGAATACAGTGGTACCTCGGTTCACGAACTTAATTCGTTCCAGGAGTCTGGTCTCGAACCAAATCAAATACTGTATGTGCTAAAAAGCACACAATAAACCTTCACAGCAAGTGTGCACAGCGGGAAAGAGGGGCGCGGTCGTGTTCGTCACCCGATGCGGAGTTCACGAACGTAAGCAAAATTTTGCTGAACTTACTGTTCGAACTGAATTGTTCACGAACAGAAGCGTTCGTGAACCGAGGTATTACTATATATCTCCTTTATCGAGTCCCTAGACCAAAACGAGCAGTTATCCCTTGCCGTGCAGGGGTTAGGGGGTAATCCCTGCAAATTTAGGAGCAATCACTACAAACAAGTGATTTCTGTAGCTCTAAATGAGATTTCTGCACCTGCCAACAGGTAGTATAGCCCACTCTTTTTGTAAGACCAGCTCCAGATGTCTAAAGTTTCAAGGGTTACTTCTCAAGACTGCACGTTTCAGCTCTTACCATGCAGGTGGAATAGCATTCAGATCAGGGCTCAAAGGATGTCACTTCAGAATAGCCAAGTGCTTTGTTCTTAGCAGACCTGATTGCGAAACCTGTATGAAAGGGGCATTAAAGGAGAGCTATGGGGTTAGGGCTTTTCCCCATAGTTCTCCTAACGGGAGGACACGAACTAGCGTCCTCCCATCACCCGAAGCTCAGTATACCGCGAGCTGCAGCTCGCGGTATACTGAGACGAAGCAGCTGAAACGGATCCCGACAATTATGTCTTGATCCGCCCAGCTGCGTGAGTGACAGCTGGCTCTGCCTATCTAGAAGCAGAGCCAGCTGTACCATCCCACTCCCCGTCCGTTCCACCAGTCAGCGCTGGAGGATCGGACAGGGGAGGGGGGGAATCCAGCCCCTCCCCTGTCACGACTCTCTGCAGTGACAGGATCGAGAAGTGAGCGAGCGCCGGTATGTGTTGGCTCACTTCCCGATCCGACCTGTGACAGTTTAATTGTCACAGGTCGGCTAGAACTATGAGGATGAGTGAAAATCACTCACCTCATAGTTCTCCTTTAATAAGCTGTAAGTGTATTAACAAACGTATCCACATCTGTATATTACAGCAGCAATTACAGACTCTGCTGTCTAAAAGAATGCCTTCTGAAACAGTGTTTGTAAACACTGTTCAGATCCAAGATTGGGAGATGCAAAGTGATTATATTTGTATTTACTCAGTTTACTGCAGATCAGAGGGATGAGACCCAACCTACATATGACATTTTAACTGATCATCAAGCTGACAAGTAACCTTCCTGTAGACCTACCTGCCAATATGGCCCCTCCAGTACTGTGAGAACTGCAATGTCCATTGTCGCTCAGTCCCTGCTACTGTTATCTTCACCCGGTCTTTTTCTAGGTTCACCCATCTTGATTAGCCACCCTGGGATGACGTAACTCCCATCCAAGAGTGTGGGCATTCATTTATAATGGCACCCAGCAGATGGGACTCAATGGGACTCAAAGTTTAGAAAAAACATTGCTGGCCAACAGGTAGGACACTTTTTTTTTCCAGAAGCAGCATAGCGGCTTTCCTACCTGAAAGCAATGCATTTTATATAGAACTTTAGGTCTGCTTTAGAATCTGTGTTTACCATCACCAAATTGGAGCTGAAGGTAACTTTAAAACTTCAACAAAGATACTCTAAGCTTTGTAAAAGCCTGCTGTGCATACTGCTCATATACACTGCAGCCCATGTGTATAAAGCTGCCCATACACCTTGTGATCATCGGGCGAAACTTTTCGTTTGAAGATCGAACCGTGGTACGATTTTCATCCTTCCCCCGATTATCGCAAGGTTCAATCAGCAGTAATTAAAAAAAAGCACTTGGACGAATTGCGGTAAAACATATTTTCGTTTGTGCATGAGCACCTACCAATGGTATAAGCCGTACAAAGCAAAGCAGACAGCTCACTTCCAAAGTTTCACCGAGTAAAGCAAGTCCATTACATGATGGAGACTGAGTGGCTGTTATGAATACTGCAAGAAGCAGCGGCACATACTCAGACACACAGGCTGTTAAGGTGAAACCAGGTAAAAGTTTGACTTCATGAGAAATTAAGTTCAGCTCAGTTCAGAAATGAAGTTCAACGCTGTTATCAACACAAAGCTTCCTCCTATACAAATATAATACATATATACATACAAATATGTTATCCTCACAGTGTGGTAGGAGGAAAAAAGCAATAGCTGTATAGTTTGTAAATGCAAAAAAACAACAACAAAGCAGCGTCCAGATTGTTAGCTTGGATCAAACTGCGATATGATCGACTATCTTCTGTGTCAGGTTTATGCCCCACTATCCTTTACTATTACCTGCTCATATTTCTCTAGCTCTGTGTGGTAGATTTGTCGAATCTGGGATAGTTTTGCTCTGTAATCTGAATGTTCCACTGAGTTATCTGACCCCGCTCCACCGGAGGCGGCGGCTGCTGCGGCGGCCGCTGCGGAACCTCCGCCTTTTTCAGGGCCCGCTACACCTTCCGCCAATAGCATGTTATCCAACCTCATCAGCTGTGGATCTGCTGGCTCCTCCTCCTGCGCTCCCCGAATACTGAGCACTAAAAGAAAAGCAGAAGAGAGTATTAATGGAAGCAGACATTTGTTTTATGCCAGTTTCAGTGCTTAATGGAATCTAACTGGTCAGTTGTAAGCTATTGTATAGGCATAACTTAAAGAACAGCTCTGGGGACATTTGTTTTATTAACCCTTGCAGTGGGGCTACCCTGGCACAGTAAGGGTTAACTGCTCATTTTTGTTTAAGGACTAAAATAAAAAAATTAAAGTTATACTCGCACTATCCTTGAAGTCGGCCGGTTGTCACATCGCTCGCTCCTGCCTCTCACCTACGCTGCAGCGATGGTATGTCCCTCAGGACAAAGTGTATTGGACGTGATGACTTGAGAATCCTTAGACTGCTGCAGCAGAGAGGATAGGAAGTGCGGTCTAAGAGCAAGCCGGTTCAGAGAATCGGGCGAGTATAACTTTTGTATTTTAGCCATTGCATGAAAACAAGCAGTTAACCCTTGCAAGGCGCGAGAAGTCCCACTGCGAGAATACAAATTTTGAATACAGAGTTCTGCTTCAATTCACAGCCCCCATTCCTCCCCCAATGTTAATATAAAGAGAAGAGATGTGTAGTTACCCAAAACAATAATTCCCAGTTTCATTACCACTTCATACTAAACCACAGACAGGTGATATCTGACTGCTTGCTACGAAAAGCTTGGCCATACACCGGTAGATTTTCGTACTAACGTTCATACGTAAAATATGGTTAGAGCACACGATAATGCCATCAGAGACTTGTCAAATGTCGCTCAAAATTGGATTTAAGTTTCGGAATGAATGGAGTTTCCTAAACAAAAACCACATTTGTGGTTAAAATTTTCTGCTTTTAAAACACAATTTTTCCATCCCGTTCCTCTTTTTTTTGTCACTGCAGAAAAAAAAAAAAAAAAAAAATCATCGATTTAACCCCATTAACTATTAGAAAATTGAACGAATGTTCCAGAAGCAAAATTATTTTGAACAAAATTTTACTGGTGTATGGCCAACTTAACAGAAGATTAGTGTTCTTTGCATTATATCACAGTACAGGCGCTGCACATGGGTTTTAAAGCTAAAGCACACTTTGAGAAAAACAGATGCAATCCCGATCCCTTCAATATGGCAAAAAGAAAAGTAGAGCCAGATAAAGGAAGATTGGTGGTTGTTGAGGTATGCGAATTGTGAATTATTCTAAACAGCGTTAGAGAATCACCTGCACTCCATACAGCGCATAGACCATGCGATATAGATGTTGGTGCTCGAAGTGAAGACACGGATGGTGCTGTGCCACAGTCCAATCAATAATGAAAGTCACCAGCACTCGTAATGTGCAGGAAGCCTAAGCACTTTTATTGATGCATCACATGCGTCACAGAGCCAATGTCGCCCTGAGGAAGGGAATCTGAGTGGCCCCGAAAAGTTGGCTCTATGACGCATGTGATGCATCAATAAAAGTGCTTATGCTTCTTGCACATTACGAGTGCTGGTGACTTTCATTATTGATTGTGAATTATTCTGGCGCATTGCATGTAAAATAAACCATTATATTGTAGTGCATATAGTTAATCAGGCGCAACTGTCTTGCACCATCCTCTTGGCACACCCGCGCCTCTATTGCGCCAAATATTAAAGTGATTTTCTGAACCAATATTTGTTTGGCACAGATTGTGAGTTTTTGTGCAATCATGTTTCATGAAAAACCCTAACATGGCCCTTTGCACACTGGGTAATGGAGAACTTGCATCTTCCTAGATCATGTATTTATACTGACAATTTGATAAGCAAGATGCGAGCATGTTTGCACCATTGCCTTATAGGTCAACATCCCTTGTGACAGTACACTGATTAAATAGGTTTTACATGGGATCACGTGATATGTAAATACAGATTTACATTCGTAAACCATGTATATTATTTTTATTATTATTATTATAATAATAATACAGGATTTATATAGTGCCAACAGTTTGCACAGCGCTTTACAACATAAGGAAGACATTACAGTTGCAATACAAAATCAAGACAAGATGTTAAGGAGGACCCTGCCCGTGAGAGCTTACAATCTAAAAGGATTGTATACATTAAAATTCAATGAGGGGAATTTATCAAAACTGGAGCGGACAAAATCTGGAGCAGTTGCCCATTGCAACCAACCAGCTTCTCTTTTCAGTTTGCTCAGGTAGGATTTGAAAATGAGACAGACAAGCTGATTGGTTGCACTACAAATCTGCTCCACATTTTGTCTGCTCCAGTTTTGATACATTCCTCCCAATGTGTTCTTTACAATGTGCTGAATATATTGTGTTCTATATAGGTGTATCAGGACTAATACACACCACCATTGTACAGATACCAGAATAAACATCCGAGGTCGTTCCCCGTGCCTCCACTAAGGGGCTCCTTTTCTATTATCATTGGAATCCCAGATCACACAAATACACGGTGTTCGCTGCCTAGCATGCCACAAGGATCATACTGATTTATGAAGGAATTTACCACATCACAAAAAGCAGCACACACTCCCCTTTCCCTGGACTCTACATTCAAGGCTGCTATTCATATGAACAAAGGAGACGCAACAAAAAAACAAAACATCTGTAATTCCCTATTTACCAAAAACAACACAGTAGCGTATGAAGGAAAATTCAGTAGGAGGCTGTCAACTCCTTCCTTGAATAGTAAATCTGACCCATGAGGGTTATTGATAAAGGGAACGATCACTGCGTAACCCAATGTGTAAGTGAACTTTTGTTATACTATTTTCTAATGTGCGCATCATTTACCATTCTCCATGGGGGTTCCACCTTCTTTGCTATACTTAATCGAAATTTGCTACCTTTATAAAAGAGGCATACATGGACCTGAGATCAAAACGTTTCTATGGTTGGCATGGCACTAAGGCTGGCCATACACTTAGGGCCCATTCATATCTAAGTGTAGTGTTAATCATAAGATAGCAAGTGAATAACCATCACACAATGCACCTAGCATGCATAGTGGTGAAAAAAGTGCATGCATTACTTTTTTCCACCGCGCGGTATCGCGTTGCAGCACAATGACCAGGAGGTGCTTTGGGGTTCAATTCAAATGAATGGCAACGCAACATTCCTAGTACACGGCAACACATGGGAATTTTTGGACCAACTCCTTCAGTTGATCAAAAAAAAAAAAAGATGTTGTCCAATGAAGGGGGGCTCCAAGGGGGTCACACAATGGCCACTACAGCCCCCCCACCCCCCCCAATAAAATCATATGTGAAAATGTGTAAACCTTGGGTGAAAGTTGTGTGAATCTCATAAACACAATAGACCCCAAAGTCTAGATGTTACCAAAGATCCGAGATTTTTAGTTTTATTTAGAAGTAGGACATTGCAAATTGATCCAGTGATAATTATGGTGAATGATGCAAGCAGAAATAGGCAATATTAATAATTCAGTACACTGTCAGCGTTACACCGCTTGTGTCTGATTCATTTTGTCACTGTCGCACCTATCTACTTTATTCACATATAAACAAACGAAAAAGAAGATCTACTACAGGACTGCTTCAGTTTCCATTATAAAGAATGGATAGGCTATTTCCAAAGTGATGTTGAAGATATAAGGGAGGTTAGGAATGATAAATTATGTATGGGCGTGCGCTGAAGAAACCTGCTATTGCAAAATTAAACCACCACTGACATCAATAAGACGCTGCCTATGCAAATGTAGTCTTGTTAAACACTGGAAATTTCTGTGTATTTACTCAGATATTCAACCCCAAAAGATGGCCATTCATATATTGGGAATATTGGGATGCCGGCGGGGCCACACACTTGCTTCAATTTGCTACCATAAATGACTATCTCCTTCCCACCCCCACCAAGAGGGATTTGCACATAGCAGTGTGAAATACTGCTGGTTATAGAGGCAACCCCTGGTTTATTGCGTGAGCAAATATAGGACACATCATTAGGGTTATATTTGCAGTGAAGACCTTCAGGCTGGGTTCACACGTTGGCGTAGCATAGGCACGTTTTTTCTGCTAGTTTTTAGCTCGTTTTTCCGTTCAGTGAAACGCGCGTTTTACTGGTGGTATGGTTTTTTTTTTTCCTTCATTTTTTTTCTATTTTTTTTTTAACTTTCAAACTTCCCGCCAGTTCCGCCCTCCTGCGACGCGGCCGCTCGGAAGGGACGGAACCCGGAAGTCGCCAAAGGACACAGCAGAGATCGCGGACAAGGTAAATCCTACACTGTATTCCCGAGTGTGGCTCGCGGTTACCGCTTTGTTAACCCCGAGCCACACTCGGCAATACCAATGGAAACGCGTGGGAAAACGCCCCAAAGAAGCGCCTGTACTTGTTTGGGCGTAGGGCGTTTTTCAGCGTGTTTCCACGGGCTGAAATACGCCCAGGTGGGAACCATGCCCATAGGGAAGTATGGGATTTCACTGTTTGAACGTTTTTCAGCGCTTCGATCAGTGCTGAAAAACGCCCAGGTGTGAACCCAGCCTCAAGGCTCATTCTGCAAACCATAACCTATTGTTACAAAACATGACACAATTGAATAAATACACATACATAGTGCAAACATATCTTGAGTACAACAGAGTAGGTAAAATCTGTCTCTGAACTCAAATCAAAAGGAGGGGTGTCTTTAGGTGTACAAACTGAGAAAAGATGCTTGAAGCAGAACTCCAGCCAGAAACAAGATCTACTTTAAGATGCATACAGGGAGAAGAGCCCAGTACCAGTATACCACACTCACTTTGGTGACCTGAGAAACCCTACCTATGGTTCAGGAGAAGTCATTCTAAGCATTTCCACTGCATGTTTTTTTTTATGGCTTTTAAATACAGAAGCCCTGCAAAAATACTACCAGTAGTTTCTCCCATGCTTTCAAAGTGCTTCCTGTTAACCTGTATGAAACACTCTGGATTCTGGCTGCAGATAAAGATAAACAGTTAACATTTGGCTTTTAAGCACAGTCGTGCTATTAAAGTATTAGCAGCTCATTGATTGGTTTCACTTTT